CTGAGCAGGGAGCCCAATGCGGGGCTTGATCCCAGGACCCTGGGATCATGACCTGAGCCGAAGGCAGACGCTTAACGACTGAGCCACCCAGGCGCCCCAATAAATTAATAATCTTAAAAAAAAAGTATCTTGAAAACATTGCATCGACCCGAGAAAGTATGTCTGTAGCAGAATATAGCCTGGGGCCCCCAGTTAAAGATCACTCCACACAAACATCTGCTCTTAGTGTAATTTATCACAAGTGCCTGGGAGATTTGGGGTACATGAAAGAAAAGGATTATAGCTGGAGGTGAATGGGAAGGCACCCAAATGGTGCTCGGAGAGAGGGTCAGAAGGGGCGCGGGCTGCTCAGGAGACCTACCAGTAAGCACTCCAGCCTGGAGAGAGTACCCCTTGATCCAAATAAGCCCAGGAAAGGGGCCTCGGGAAGCCCATCCACCCCCAGCTCTGCGGCACCATGAGGCCTCGTGGATGTTTTCCCTCTGAATCAGCTTCATCTCCCTCCCTGCAAAAGCTGACCCTCCAGGGAGCCCTTGCCTGGAGTGTGATTTGGGGACATCCCCTGCTCAAGCCACCTCTTCCTATCCCCGTTCCTGCTGCCAGGGTATCTTTCAAGGGGGGCGGCACCTTTGATTCCCTCCTCTGAAATGGCGAAGTGATGAGTCAGCAAAATGTGCTGGTTTCCAATTCTTCACTGTTCTGCTAAACTCCCAAAAGGTCAAGGACAGAGGGGCCTGGGCACCCCATGGGCGGTGGGAGTGGAGGATGAGCAGATGGGGATGCGAGAGCCCAGTGCGGGGGACCTGGCCGCCGTGTCCCAAGCTGGCTTGTCTCCCCGCTTGGCTGGTGAAGCCCTTACCGCCGAGCTATGTAACACCCGCCTCTCTGGCTTCATGGGATTTATGAAGATTTTTCCTTTTAATCCTGCTGGACTCATTCAAAAGGAACACCATTTCTGAGGATTCAGATTAATCAGGGGCTCACTACGGCCTGACTCTTTGCCCAGGCTGACCTCAGACTTCAGAGCTTTGGTGAATTCTCCTAATCTTCTCGGCTGGCCTCCACTTTCTCTTTGCCCTGCCCCTGGTTCTGTACCTGGCCCCCTCTTTATTCCTGTGACAAAGGGCAGTCCTCTTGGGAAGGCAACATAGACAATTACTCCCCCACGCATTATGTAGAAAGACAGCAGGTGGTGCTGCGCAAAAGGATATGGAGTCTCAGGTGGGAGAGCCCAGTCTCCGATTCTGACTCTACCAACCTGTCTGAGCCTGGCCTCCAAATCTGTCAAAGACTATGGGTACTTGCCTTTATGGATAATGAAACACTCCCCCCCCCCAAAAAAAAAGTGTCAGGCAGTTCATCAAATACTTGCAAACTTTCTCATTGGAGGACTTGTATGACACCCATTTCACAGATGAAGAGAGCGAGGTTTAGAGTATGAAGTCTCTCTGAGAGCAGCGTGTGAATGTAGAGATGCCCCCCCCCATGCTGTGGGGGCCTCCTTGGTAGAACCAGGGGGACGTGGACAAATTTGGGGGACTGTGACCATAACATCACAGCCACTGCCCCAAATCACAGAATCTGCGAGGAGAACGGACCCATCGCCTCAATCCAAAGTTGACTTAATTAAAAAGCTGAAGAGGCCACTGTGGCTTTAGATCGGCAGATGGGTCCCCAAGGCTGTCGTCCTCACCCCCAGCTGTGTAAAATGTTTGTTGTGGATGGTTATGTGACAGGTGAGAATGTATCCCAGCAGGGCGGCTCAAGCAAATGGCTGTATCATAAACCCAGGCTTTGTTCCTCTTTCTCCTATAGCCCAGCAGAGGTGCACTGCAGACGTGCAAAGCAATGAGGCCCCAGGGCACTTGGAGTTTCATGAGGACAAGCACGGCAAATCTCAAGGATTATGGTCTTTAGACAAGCACTGCCACGAATGTGCACCTGCTCATGCATAGGCTCCTTCCCGCGTGAGCCTGACCAGGTGGAAAGTGAAGCCAAGGGAAGGGCTCAGTGTTGGGAGGACAGGGAGAGGAGGCTGGCCATAAAAGAAGAGGAATTTTGACTCAATGCTGGAGGAATAAGGAGCCACAGTAGGCTCTTGAATAGGGGACTTATCTGGGATTTTCTCTCCTCCGAAGAAGAAGTAATTTCCACAGTCGAAAGATGCTCCCCTGGGCTTATTTCTGTCCCTGAAAACTTCCAGCAAAGGCAGGTGCCGTGATCCTGGCCCTCAGGGTACTTAGAGTCTATGTTAGGGGGTGGGGTGGGAGGGATGGGGTGACTGGGTGATAGACACTGGGGAGGGTACGTGCTCTGTTAAGCGCTGTGAATTGTGCAGGACTGTTGAATCTCAGATCTGTACCTCTGAGACAAATAATGCAAGATATGTTAAAAAAAAAAAAAAAGAAGAAGAAGAAGGTAGCGGGAGGGGAGGAATGAAGCGGGGGAAATCGGAGGGGTGGACGAACCATGAGAGAAGATGGACTCTGAAAAACAAACTGAGGGTTCTAGAGGGGAGGGGGGTGGGAGGATGGGTTGGCCTGGTGGTGGGTGTTGAGGAGGGCACGTTCTGCATGGAGCACTGGGTGTTGTGCACGAACAATGAATCATGGAACACTTCATCTAGAACTAATGATGTAATGTATGGGGATTAACATAAGAATAAAAAAAATAAAATAAAAAAAAAATAATGATGTGTGCTAGTCACATGCAAATAGGGCCCAGCGGAACTCATTTATTTCAGTGCGATTTCAGTGCGTATTATGTCATTAAATCCTCAAAGCGAGGCTACTGCAGGGACTCCTGAACCTGTTTTAGGGACAAGAGAGCCATTCCTTTGAAGAGGCAATGATCTGTGCCCTGCCTTGCCCTGTTTTAGTTCCTGGCAGCCCAGGAAGACCCTGAGATCATGACCTGAGCCGAAATCAAGAGCTGGATGCTTAACCGACTGAGCCATCCAGGCGGCGCCCTGCTCTAATTCATTTTTAAAAATCAATACCAACTTTGTTACTTTCCCTCTAACTGGAAACAAACTATCTGAGGCTCACATCATAATGGATGCTGTTGGGGAAGTTGAGAACCCCTGGTCTCAGGCTCGCAGTATCAGTCCAGATGGGCTGGATTATGCTGCAGTAACAAACAACCCCCAAATCCCAGTGGTTTCAGTCAACAAATTCATTTCTAGTTCATTCTGTGTGGATTTTTCAGGTCGGCAAGGGGTGAGTCCTCCCCACAGCCATTCAGGGACCCAGGCTGATAGAGACTCCATCCAGACGTGTTCTTCTGTGATCACAGAGGCAGGGAAACAAGAACCAGTGGGCAGTCCATTGGCTCTTAAAGCTTCTGACCAGAAGTGACGCATCTCACAGCAGCTCCCTATTCACTGGCCAAAGAAAGTCGTATGGCCAAGCCTGGACTCACGGGATGGGATGGGATTGAATCATGCTCCCGTAGGGTGGGTGGGGGGCACTACATGTCTATGAACAATAAAGCAATCTGCCACGTTCCCCAATCCTTGTTCAACATGACCAGGGATAGATAGTAACACAGTCCGTCGCTAATTGTCACAGCTACTCCTACTTATGACTATATTCTCCTTGTGTTCTAGGTGAAAAGTGTAGGAGTTTCCAGAGTATAATACCAGCTGAAGAACAAGGTAAATACCTTACTCGTGTTCTGTCCACCAGCCACAATTTGGATAATTTTTTCTGTCCATAATTTGGATAACTTTTATTGTTTTTGTTGGGACGCAGGAAAAGATGAGAGAGATATTTATGGTTTTCCCATGAAGTCAAATCCAGAAGCTAGAACCGCTGGCTCTCTCCACATGCCCTATAGTCAGTGGTGCTGGAAAATGTCAAACCATCCATTTTGCCGGTGGAAAGCCCCGACGGGTAGTGTTAGCTGTTTTCCAGGGTATGAATAATCCCGCCGTGGCTCACTGCAAACTACTAATACAAGGTAAATGCAGGGCTGGGAAGAGATGAGCTCCAGCCACCACTGCCTACAGCCGTTTGTCTCCATAACACTCATCAAATCCGCGATGACTTTCTCCGTATCTGTTTCCCCAGCTGGAATAAAGGTTTTGTGAAGGCATGAATCATGCCTGTTTCATCCACTGCTGGGTCCCCAGCCCCTAGCTTGCTCTACTGGAGGACTTCCAGAAACATTAGCTTCCCTCCCTGTCCTCTTGACCCATTCGCCCCCACCTCCAACACAGTTCCTTGGAGCCGCAGGTGGGATCCCCTCCAGAGGGCAAATAATTGGCTCACATAGAAACAAACAAGGTTTTGGGATCTCTAACCAGGGCTCTTAAACTCTCAGACATCTCTGTCCTCTTGTTTAAGTGTGTGTATCTTCTTTAAAAAGACAAAGATAAAGTCTTCTGGTGAAATCTAAACAACGCATTAGCTGTGGAGCTAGAGAATAAAGACCCCCAGCATCTCTCGTGTCTTCACATCAGACTCTTATTCTATTTCTTTTCCCTCCCAGCAAAGGACAATATTTACACAATCCTCTCTCAACACCAAGGAGCCCTCTGTGACTGCCAACTTTCAAGATTCAACAGACGTAGCTGTGGTTTTTTTACCCCTTGGTGTTTGGTTTTTATTTTTAATTTTTTATTTATTTCTTTTGTTTTAGAAGTGAACTAAATCAAAGGGCTAGACATGGCAGTACTTCTAAATTCTCAGTGCTCAACATCTCTGACATTCTCACATTTTTGCAGGTGTTCTGTGGTTGTCCATTGGGGCCGAAATCCTGAATATCCTTCTGTTGTTGACAAGTGCCATCCTCCTGGGCTCCAGAGTGAGTTATCATGGCTCTGGGCTCCACTGGCTCAGGGTGGACGCATCTGTGGCCATCCTCATGGTGCTCGCAGGTACTTGCCCACAGCAGTATTCAGACAGGCTGACTCCCCACACCCTGCCCCAGTTGGAGGGACAGAGCTTCAGCCAAAGTGCAGGCTGGCTCTTTTCTGTCGATGGCCAGTTCATCAAGACAGCTGGCTGGTCTACCGGAGAAGTCGCTGAGTTAACCCCATTGCGGGGAAAGCAATGATGCTTTGGGTGACTGATGAAAAGAAATGGGGTAGGCATGGGGCTTGGAGAATAAAATGTCTTACTGTGTCTTTATCACAACTCTGGGAAGGAGATACACTGGCTCTGAGAACAGAAATTGCCTAATTTAGTAGGGTGGTTGTGCATGAAAAATTCTGCCTGGGTTCAAATCCCTGCTACCTAATGGTTGTGTGGCCCCAGGCAAGTCACTCAACCTCTCTGAGCCAGCTCTCTCAAGAGACTATGGTGATGACTAGGTAAGAATGCACCTAGTATGTAGTAAGAATGCAAGAAATGGTCACTTGTTAAAAATCATCATCCAAGTTTGGTGTACATATAAGAATGAAGAACACCCTTTTTGGGGGGTGGGGTTCTTCCGTGTCCTCCAAGCAACTTTTAGAGCAACTTCATTTGGTCTCCTGAGTTGGCCTTTCCATCAAGAGAAGAACCCCAAACAAATGACTTCCTTCGATTCTCTGTCCCGATACTTGAAGCTCTGTTAATAGTGCATCAGCCCAACTGGGAGCTCACTTCTGTGCTTGATAAGTGTCAGGTGTCTTTCCCAAGCCTTATCACCAGTGAATAGGATGATAAAATCCAATTTATGGATCTTCATAGCAAAGAGGCAGGCCATGGACTCTTGGAGACTCTTCCCCAGGTTCTGGCATCCCCGAGAGCCCCCCAGGATCATGAGAGTAGGCTTCTTTCTGGATGTCTGATCATTGGGATCTGCGAACAGGTAAAATGTTTGAGGATTTACATCACAAGGACTTCAGCCAGCCCTATTAACATATAATTGCCCCCACCAATTAAAACTATTTCTATTTGGACCCCTGAAGCCAATCCCTAACTGGCCACCATTTGCCATACATTTATTAAATTAAAACACCATATGTGAAATTAGAGTCCCTGCAAAACGAAAGACAAAACAACAAAACAACTAGGGTTTAAAAGTAAAATTCAAGAAAGCTTTCTTGAACAGAAGACCAAACTCTATATATAGAAAGCTCCCTCCAAGTACCTGGAAAAATAGACACAGTGCACTCAAATCCTCAACATATCCTCCAAACCTATGGGGAAAAAAGTCTTCGGGGGTCTCCAGGCAAAAAAACCAAGACACTTACAAAGGAAAGAAAATCCCCTTGGCAGCTGATTTCTGTTCCTCCTGAATACTGCCACGTGAGTCTGGTGTGGCCAGAACACGCTCAGATTTTTATCTAAAGTATCCCAGTGTTGAAGCCTTAGCAAATCATCCACATGAAAAAGAATAACATGACAGAAGACTGTAGAATGTGGCGTCAGGCCAAATGTAGCTCAAGGACCCCTCATCTGTGCTGGGAAAGAGAGAATGGAACATCGGAGCCTCTGAGCATAGGGAGACAGGGGTATTATAGACTGGGGAGAGTTCGTCATGGGAGGAATTACCTGGCCACTGTGCGAATTCATGAAAATAAGGAATTAGTGCGTATGTGAAACATGAAGGCAGCTTGAAAGGACTCAAGGAGGATGCTACTGGCTTTCTTTCATCCAACTCACATAAAGTAGAGAAACTCCATTCCTAACTCTGGCTCACAGAGCTCTCTTTATGCAGGGCTTCTCAGCATGGTGGCCCACATGATGTACACAACCATTTTTCAAATCACTGTGAACCTTGGACCAGAAGATTGGAAGCCTCAGACGTGGGACTACGGCTGGTCCTACTGGTGAGTTCTGGCCGTGGTCCTCAAGTCCTGACGGGCTGTCAGGGATGCACACGGGTTTTGTAGGACTACGGACCTTGGCTATCATTCCACCATCTGACTTTGGATGAATTTCTTAACCATTCTGTAGCCCCGCTCTCTCCTCTGTGAAGGGATGATACTTGTCTCATGCATTCATAGGCATTTAAAGAGATTAGGTTTGGTAAAATCTTTGACCCAGAGTCAGGTCCTCAAGCCACGGAGACACTGATGTTATTCCATTCTTAAACACAGCTGGGGGGAGAGTCCCGAGTAATAAAGCCTAGTAAATACTTCAGTGTTGGGAGACCCAGCCCCAGTTTCTAATAGACAAAGCCAGGACATAAAAGTTCTGTCTCTTAACAGAAAGACTCAGCCATGCCATATAAGATCACAGCGGTTCTTTTTGATATGGATCTCCGAAGTACAGCTGCAGTTTTATACACACACACACACACGTACATTTTCATCCTGTATAACAATCTCTTATGTTACTTTTCTCTTTGTAAAACAAATAACACATTCTAGGTTTACTCCCTCATCTTACCATTCTAGAGTTTGGTGAACATGTCCGTATACTGTTACCCGCATGATTTATTAGATTTTGTACTCTTCCCAGTTTGTGTCTCAACCTGAAGAAGTTTTTTTTTTTTTTTTACAAACATTTCTTTGTAGCATCACACCATTCCCTCGACCTGTGTGTCACTTTAGTTGCCTCCTTCCAGACAGGTGTCACTGTTTCTGAGGTGACGTCACTGATGCTACTCACAGTGGAGAACCCAGCTGCACTAGAGCTCAGAGCACTGTCAGGTGGGCCAACAGCTATAGTCAACTGATGCTGTGGGTTGAAGTAGATCCCAAACATCAAAGGAATCTGTAGAATGGTCTATTTGTTTCCCATATCATTTTGTTTCGTTTCCAATTACTTGTAATTACTTAACTCTTAATCAAAGAAATAGATGCAACTAGTTTTTAAAAATCAAATAGTATTAAACAGGGGCACCTGGATGGCTCATTCTGTAGAGCACACAACTCTTGATCTCGGGGTCGTGAGTTTGAGCCCCACATTGGGTGCAGAGATCGCTTAAAAATAAAATCTTTAAAAAAAAAATCAAATAGCATAAACATAGCAATCTCTCAATTCTGTCTTTCCCTATCCCACTCCTCTAGCCCCACCAAAGCCCCCCATCTTTCTCTCCACTCGGGATGGCTATTCTGAGGCATGCCACATGACACTTCCCTTTGCCACTCCTTTGTACAGGAGAGCTGTTTCCTGGGTTCCATATCATTATCTTACTTATTTTGCATTCACATTTTGTGGGGGCACATCCCCCAATGATAGAGAAATTATTTTATTTCTTGCATATTTGGAAAGGTACTTATTCGATGCTCCATATTTGATTGATAGTTTGGCAGAGTGTAGAATCCTTTGTTGAAAATCATTTTCCCTGAAAAATGTGAAGGCATAGTTCCATTTCCTTCTAGAACTTACTGATTCTGGGAAGAGTTCCATACTCTTCTGATTCATGTTCCATTATAAGTAGGCTGGTGTTTTCTACTCTTTATTACTGGTGTTCAGAAATGTCAGGATAATGCACCTTGGAGTCTTTCATTCACTTTCATTCTTCTTTCCTGTGCTTGATGGGTCCTTCAATCTGAATATTCATGTCCTAGAATTCTGGGGATTTTTCTGTTATTATTTCATTGATTATTTCCATTCCTTAGCTTTCTGTTCTCTTTAGAAACTTCTTGTTAGTTCAATACCGAGACTCTTGGATTAATCATCTAAAGGTCATCGTATCCCTCACATTTTCTAGCTCCTTCTTTTTGTAATCTTTTCTGAAAATGTTCCTCTCTTTGTCATCTAACCTTCCTATTGAATTATTATTTGGATCTTACTTGAATTTCCAAAAGGTCTTTCTTGTTTTCTGGTTGTTCCTTTTTCATATATCCTGATCTTGCCTTGTTCATGCACCATCTTCTCATATCTCTCTGTAGATAGTGATCAAAGGGTTTTCTTCTGGTTGCTGTTTTCTTCTGTTCCTTGTGCTATCTCTTTTCTTTAGATGCCCCCCCCTTTTTTTCTGTTTACTGTTGGGCCTTTCCCCTAGATGTTGGTATCTTTGATGTCAAGTTATATTTAAGGATGATTGGAAACTCTAGAGTGGGCTTAGAAATTAGTTATGGGTAGGTTTCTTTGTAGGTAATCGGATAAGGGGACTTCTATTTTACCTGGGAATTTCACCCCCTGAAAACACACAAATGCCAGTTGGCAGAGGTTCTTTCTCAGCAACCATTCCACTGGGTTCCATAGAAGGTGAAAAGTATAGATCATCATATCAGAATGCAACAGGCTTCCAGAGGGTAGAGATAGAAAGTAACAACACCAATGTCGTGCCCTGGGTTAGAGCCAACCACCACCACAACTAAAAGCAACACTGGTATGTTAGCAGATACTATGCTGAGTACTTCCCAGCATTAGTTCATTGAATTCCTCACAACCACCCTGTGTGTGGTGTTACTATTAGTCAGGTTTTGCAGATGATGAACCTGATCCAGAGAGATGAAGTCACCAGCTCAAGGGTGCACAGCTCATAAGAGATAGGGGCAAACCCACAGTGCAAACTTAGCACAATGTCCCCAAAGTCCGTTCTCTTAACCACTGGGCTACAACAACACTATTGGCTGGTCTCTGAAACTTGTGATCCAAAGTCCAGGTCCAAATTGGGTGGAAAGAGGCGCTGGTTTTTCACCAGACTGACCACCAACAGGAAACCCTGGAACCACAGCCTCTTTCCTGCTCCTTCCTAACTGTGCCTTTTGTTGACAGCCTCGCGTGGGTTTCCTTTGCCCTCTGCATGGCTGTGTCGGTCATGGCCATGAACAGTTACACAGCAGCCCGCCTGGAGTTCATAGAGAAGCAGAGGATACGGAAGGGCAGTCGGCACTCTCAACAAAACTTCCCAGAGCCCAAGGCTTTGGAAAGTGTTTGGGAAACAAAAGCTGCTCCCAGCCCTGACAGGCATGCCCTCGTGAGTGTGTCAGAGCACCTGCCACCAAATGACGCAGGCAAAGTGTCCATGTGCTAGCCAGTGCTTGTGGCTGTCAAATCTGCACAGGCAGGCAAGCCAGACACTTATGTCCGCAATGAACATCTCTGGGGTGGGCTTCAGAAGGCTGTGGTCCAGGTAAACTTTCTACCCACCATCTTACCCTTTATTAAACAGCTTTGGCTTCAGCTAATGATTCCTGGTAAAATGTCAGTGTCTTTAAGTGAGATTACGCTTACAGAAGATATCAACCATTGACACTCTAGTATAAATGAGCATCTCAAGCTTTCATGACAGTGGGCTTAACAAGGGTAACCAAAGAAGAGGGAACATGTAAGCACTAAGGGTAAGAGAAGTTGAAGAAAGGGGAAAGCAAGGTTCTAACTACAAAGGGTGTGAAATGTGTTGCCCACACTTGTTTGTTGACAGAAGAGTCCAGAAAATTTTCCCTTAATGAACACACACAAATTGATAGTATGTGTGACTATCCCATACCTTCTCTGTTATTTTAATTAGAAAGCGCAAATTTAAATTTAAGGAATTGGTTTTGTGTTACTTTAAATATATATTTTCTTTGCAATTTCCTAATTTCTACCTATAGTAGAATCTACTTGGAAGGATAATCAAATGATAAAACAAAATAAGAACAGTCGAATGGAATGACATCTTATCACAATTAAGTAGAACAAATGTTGGAGTTGTGCTTAAATTGCCAGGCACTTTTGCTTCTAAAAATAAACATTGCTAAATGTGTGAGTTTTGTTTGAAGCAGTGGGGTTCTGCATGTGTCTTAATGTGTTCAGTTAGAGTATTATATAAGTTTATCTTGTATTTTAAACTAACATATTATTGAGGCCACAGGTTGTTAGACACATAATTTGGGTTTTTTGAAAAAAAAAACTGCTAAATTATAATAACCCTAAATATGTCCTAACTTAGATTCATTTTTAAAAAAGTATATGTTTAGTGAACACATTATTTCTGGGGGAAAAAACACAAGCCCTCTGAATGTTTCAAATAAAATCACTCAATCTACTTATGCTAAATTGTATTTATACTCTCACAGAATAAGGGGAAATCAGCTAACTTCTTCAGGTTTGGGGCTCTAGTCAAGTACCCGTCTAACAAATGATGGTCCCACGGGATTTTATGTTTTGTTGAACCAAGCATATTTGAAGCGATGTAAAATGGAATTTTGCCAGAATAAACCCAACTCAGAAAGGCGTGCTGAGACTCCTCTGGGCCATTTCTTCACCTGGAGCAGGGGGGCTCTGTACCCAGTGGCTTCTGCCCTCCATAGTATATGGGTTATTTTCTACGGTTTGTCACCCCTGTGTATCCATGTAGCTAGGTGCTGTGTCCCTGTCACAATATGAAATCAGAGTCTGATCCTAGAGAGAAGGAAACATGCCAGAAATGTTCACAGAGACACTCGGTCCTCTTTTATTTTTTTAAGATTTTATTTATTTATTTGACAGAGAGAGAGAGAGGGAACACAAACAGGGGGAACAGCAGAGGGAGAGGGAGAAGCAGGCTTCCCGCAGAGCAAGGAGCCCAATGCGGGGCTCGATCCCAGGACCCCGGGATCATGACCTGAGCCGAAGGCGGACGCTTAACCGACTGAGCCACCCAGGCGCCCCCTCGGTCCTCTTTTAAACAGCAAAGCAAAACCAAACGTATCTATGTAGAATGTGGCTGAAGGTGCCAAAGAAGAAATGAATTTCTTTGCTACATCCTCTGAGCTCCCAAGGCACTTTTCTTCCTTTTAAATGCTTTAAATGTTGATTTTATTACAATATAACATACATAACCCTAAGAACACACAAACCCTAAGTGTACAGCTTAGTGAATTTTCAGACAGTGTATGTAGCCTTGTAACCAACCACCCCTGAGATCAAGAAACAGAGCCACGGTGTCTCATTTTCATCTAGCTTTGCTCTAAGACAGACCTAGGTGGATTTCGATTCCTTAGTCCTGAAATAATCTATGTATCTGTTCCCCTCTTAAAGATTTTAAATTACTTCTCTATGGCAAGGACTGTTCTCTGTACCTCTCCCAACATTTGAAACAGTGGTTAGCAAGTAGAAAACCCTCAGATATATGTGTGTGTGTATATATGTGTGTCTAGAGAGAAAGAATATCATATGAAGATATATATATATATATATATACTATCAAATAGACCTTTTTATTTTTTACTACTTTGTAGATATTAATGTCGTTTATGATTAAGG